CCGATAAATTCAGTCGAAGTCGTTCTTCTACGCATTGGAATGAGGCCAGATATCTAATTTGGAGAGAAACAGTTCTCGGTAGTGTACGGAAAATACGTTTATACGTACTTTCGTCGCAGCAGCCGAGGATTGTTGTATAAATTCGTCATAGCTGTACTCCTCGTGATTTATTTTAATTTATGAACATGCGTTTTAGTATCATTTTAGTATCATTTCGATCATAAGACCGACGACAGCTTTATTCTGATGTCGAAAATAGAATTTTACGGTTACACGATTATTACTATTTTCCCATTGACATTGAAAATCGCGATGGGATTTCGTTACTCAAAAGAGCATGAGAAATAAATTGTACACTGAGAAACCCATTTAGTTCGCAAACAAAATTCTTGTTTGGATATAGGCAAACAAATGTTTTGGTTACGAGAATCAAAGTTTGATTCTCTGAACTAAACCTTTTTCATTTTTGTCTCAGAGAATCAAACTTTTGACACACTTGAGAATGTATGATATGGTTCTGCGTTCTAGCTTTCCAATCCAATATCCTGCCCTGGCACTTACTGGATACTTGACACTTGTGTAAAGAAGTTTCGAACATAGAAATGATTAAATTATCAAGTTCCACACGCGATATGTATCAAAACATATCGTGTCGGTCACTCGTAACTCGTATCCTCGTCGGTTAACGTGCGATCACTAACACTGCGTTTCCGATCGATTCGTGCTTCTTCGTGTACACGTGCAAGAAAACTCTTGGTTCGTCTAACTGAATGAAGATCAGACGAAAATCGATGACAAGAAACAACGCTTCTGTTATCGTTACCGAAAACATTTGTTTGAACATTAAGCTGCGTTAAAACCTCCAACTAATAGAGAGTATTTGTATAGTGTTTCACCTCGAAACTTTTTGTTGATACTTTTCAAGTTCAATAGAATGGCTATAGAAGCTATAGAACTACAATTTCGACTGGGAACATTTTTTTTGTTTCTCTTTTGCATCACATTAATCGTGACTTTTCAATATACTGAGTCACATTGTTTCGCAAATATTTGCACTGCGACAACTAACTCATTACAAAACGCTCTCGTGTTTAATATATATGACACGTTTCGCGAAACGAAGTTCTAAATTTTTAAGTGAGACAAATTCATTCGTTAGAAACTGCTGTTATATTATATATATTATATATGAGACATGATGCTTTTACGTCAATTTCTTGCATCATTTCTTGCTCCGAAAGTTGTGCGTCATTATGATGACTATACCAAGTGTAGAAGTATGAAACCGGAATTTCCCTATAGATGGTGCTAGCCACCAATTTAGGGACCGTAAGACCGCTTCTGCAGCGCCATCATCTCCCTCTAACAACTTACGAAGATTTTCAACACACAACAACCCAAGTTCCATACACCGGTATATTTTTCTATAACCTTAAACATGTCGAGTTTTATGCCTACGAACTACGATCTGCGGACAGCATTGGTTTTTTGTTATCATTTGAAGAAAATTGCTGCAGAATCGCATCGAATGCTTGTCGAAGCTTACGGTGAACATGCTCTTGGTAAAACACGGTGTTTCGAGTGGTTCGAAAAATTTAAAAGTGGTGATTTTGACGTGAGAAACGAAGAGCGTGGGAAACCACCGAAAAAGTTCGCAGACAACGAATTGCAAGCCTTATTGGATGAAGATGATACTCAAACTCAACAAGAACTCGCGGATGAATTGAATGTGACGCAGAAAGCTGTCTCAATTCGTTTGAAAGCCATGGGAAAGATTCAGAAAGTGGGAAAATGGGTTCCGCATGAACTGAATGAAAGACAGCAAGAAAATCGAAAAACCACTTGTGAAATGCTGCTCGACAGATACAAAAGAAAGTCCATCGTATCATGACAGGTGATGAAAAATGGATATATTTTGAGAATCCTAAGCGTCAGAAATCATGGGTGAATCCAGGCGAACCATCGACATCCACTGCAATCGCTTTGGAAAGAAGACAATGCTCTGTGTTTGGTGGGATCAGAAGGGTGTAATCTATTATGAGCTGCTAAAACCTGGTGAAACCGTTAACACTGATCGCTACCAACAGCAAATGATCGATTTAAATCGAGCATTGCGTGAAAAACGACCGGAATATGGAAAAAGGCAACACAAAGTCATTTTGCTCCATGATAATGCCCCATCACACACAGCAAAACGGGTCAGGGAAACGATCGAGGCGTTCAGTTGGGAAATACTAACGCATGCGGCTTATTCTCCAGACTTGGCTCCGTCCGATTATCATCTATTCGCATCAATGAGACACGCTCTCGCTGAATAACGCTTCAATTCGTATGAAAATGTACAAAAATAGCTCGATAGCTGGTTCGCTTCAAAAGAAGAAATGTTTTTTTGGCGTGACATTCATAAACTGCCGGAGAGGTGGGAAAAATGTATAAATAGCAATGGACATTATTTTCAATAAAATATTTTTTATCATTTTCAAACAACAGACGTGTAATTTTTACAAAAAAATTCCGGTTTCATACTTTTACACCTGGTATTATCATCTCAAGGTGACATATTTTCAAACATCAAGCAGCTGATAACTTCTCGAAATTGTTTCGAATAGATTTCGTTAAAATTCTTATGTCGTTCTTCATGCTACTTCAGATTTAAAAAGTTATAGTTTGTATATAATGTTTCACTGGGGCACTTTCAGTCTCAACAATATAGTTGCGCTATATCGATGCAATTTTACATTTGACACTCTAAAACATGCAAAAACGTACATTCGAATGCGAAGTGATGATGACAACAATCTCGTTAGTAACACAATTACAAACGTACAGTTCCACCTGCAAGCTTTTGCCGCAAGTGGCGAGCTGATTCAGAAAAGAATACCTTCGCGTGATATCATAGCGTCGCGTGACCTCAGCTCGCCAAAGACTGTAGAATTCTATTAGTAACCAAATCCAGTTGACACCGTTCTATTCCAAGCGGATCAATTTCATTTTTAATTATGCTCACGCGGTTTGTCGCGAGAAACACAAAGGAGAAAGAAATTTTCGCTTCGATAGATATAATTTAAACTGATAGATCAGCGCGCGCGGAGGATGTCTACTCTCAGAAATGTCAATTATTAATACGTTCTCACGTGGCGATCACGATTATAAAGTTACTTCCCTCTAGTGATTCTACTAAGCTCATTTCGAGAAAGTAAACGGGTAGGAAATTTAGAATAAAAGGGCGGGAATAAGGTGGAAGAGAGACTACAGATTTGTAAAATAAATGTTATTTGATGAAAAGGAAAAAAAAAACACGACATACTTTGCATCATTCGTCGGTTATTGCGCACGATCTATTATCATTTATTGTACGTAATGTTATCGATTATGATGTTTCTTTTACCCGTGATGCATATGATTATTCATCTCGATGCGTCATTACGAGCAATTGAAGACGATCGAAGGATTGTAAACCCAGTGCTAAAAACGGTCGAAGCTAAGCCATCGAGGGCAGATTTGCAATTAGTTAACCTAGATTAGTCGATACGAGTAACCCGCATACACAAGGACACTAAGCCCGAGAAGGAAAGAACCGATCCTCGTGTGGGCTCGGCAAAAAGTCGCGAAAATACCGGCGACCCGCGGATGACCGAATGCAGTCACGCTCTCGAGATGCAACAAAGAAAAGTGGGTGACTCATCGATCCGTTATTTTTCTGCATGCGCCGCGTTGTTTATAGCATTAGCTCGTAGAATTCGTTTCTTCGAAGTATTGACGGTCTTATGAATATTGTTGAATATTCTTTCGTAACGCACACAGAAATAACTTAGTTTGCAACTGGGTCGACAGTAAATGCTATCACTCTGTACTCTTTGTGATTAAATTCAACTAAATATAAATAAATAAATATATTCTAAATCAATTAATACGTCCACTTTAATCGCCGTGTACGACTTTTTATAGCATGAAAGTATAGCTCTCAAATATTTCGAAACTCAATGTGAAATATTTGAGAATAAAAAAGTATTTGATTTAGATCCTAGATCCACCTAATTCTATTCTTGCATATAAAGAGCATACATGAAGTAATACAACAGAGGTCTTTAAACTATAGCTGTAAACATGATCTTCCGTTACGCAAGTAGCGTGTAAGATTCCGCGAAAAGAATTAGCTCGATCTTAATTAATGAGTGAAATGATGTGCGAGCCAATTTATTATCTCAAAGAAGGGAAGAGACGGAGAAGGAGGGAGAGATAGAAGGGCGCTTCGGCGAGCAACAAGGTCATTGCAAGGATTTGCGAGGTCATTTACATGACGCGATATACTGCTGCTGCGTAAAGGAGCGATCGTGTTCTCCTTTCAACAGGTCTCTCCTTCCAACGTGACCGCGTCGGGGCGCGACTATTTTTGATTTTTCAGAACATTCGCTTCGGCCAAAGAAAAATAATGTTCGCGCGCGCCAGGCATTATTTTTAAATCCGATTGTTGCATGCATCATGATTTACGCCCGGGATTTACGTCACAAGACCGCTTTATTTTTCTGTCATTTCGAGAAATATCATAATAAAGATACTAATCATTCCTTCGAAATTGTTATAGGTGCTATAAATAAATTCTATGCAAATTTTCTCTTTTTAAAATAGAGAAGTTCACACAAACGAATAAGTCTTCGCATATATGAAAACCTTCATATCTATGAAAGTGTCAGAAATTTAAATATTCTGTCAGATAAGATACAAAATATAGTTATGAGTTACTACATATTAATTACATGAAATAAGAGTGAAGGGAGTGATGTAATGATCAGCATCACCTTGGACGGCGAAAGAAATGAAGAAATAGTTTGACATTACATGATCGCTTGAATGGTAAGTAATTTGAAAAGCTTGAAGGTTCATCATGTAATCTCTGTGACTAAACTGTGAGGTTCATCATATGCTCCATACCGTCTTCACACTGGTGTATGCTATTGCAGAGAGAAAGTCTTACACTTGAAACCGACTGAATAAAGTACCTCTTGAGTGAGTTCCGCTGCGCTGACTGGTTCTGCTGGAGTTTGCGTGGAGTTTGGTTGATCCGGAGACGTCACATTTCTCGCTGGACTTGGAACAGGCACACTAGGGCCTGCTACTGCTGCATCTCTGTTAGTTTCATCAATGTTCAGCAGGTAAGCGTGTATGGCATTGAAGCCAGAGCTCATTCTGTTGTATCTCCCCAGTGAGTTCAGTTCCTCGAACAGGTCCCTCTGATAATTCAAAAGCATAGAGTCTGGATTCTTTGGGTGGACGTACATCGGACGATGGACGATCGTGTGGGTGTCTGTGTGCCATCCGGAACCATTGTAGAGATCCAAAGAACCTACGCCGATGGTCCGGATGTCCAGGTAGTATTCTGGATCCACGCGCAGCAGGGAGAGCAGCAACGCCAGTTGCAGCAGCTCCTCCCGATAGAGTTTCTTTATGCACAGCATCTTGCTCCGATTGCGATCAGACTGAGAACAGAGTTCTATAGGCACTGACGTGTCGTCACAGTGGCTGGCTGTCAACGTTAAGTACAAGCGATAGCTTTAACATCATGAGACGGCGCGGCTGTCCCGCAAGGTATTCACTGACATCACGTGCGAACAGCGTAAAGACAGTCCCGTGGAAATAAACAGTCTTCCCTGGAGAGACAAATAGAGAGAGATAGAGAGGGTAACAACAGCACACCGTGTTCACGCGATGTAGCACATCTCGAGCAGTGGTCTTTGGAGCCTCTCGGGCTTTAAGGTTAGGTTAGGTTACGCCGCGGCGACAGGCCGGATGAGTAACGCGCTCGGCTGTCGGCTTTGATTCGCCTCGGTCGCGCGCGAGAAGCACGGAGGAGCGGCCGGGGAACGCGACCCGTCGGTCCGTACCGGCGGACTCGAAATAAAGAATCGCGGCTTTTGCCTGCGCCGTGCGTGTAGATAGGTCAGTTACACGCGCGAGCGACACCGAAAATAACCTCAAAAGCGCCCACGAGCCACATCAAACTGCACCTCGAATGTGCGCGCGCGCCTCGCCACACGCGCGCCGAGAATCGCGCACATACACGCACACACACCTCTTTGACAAACCGCGAGTCAGCACCTCCGTGTTCCGTTAGCGGCGCGCTCGGACACTATCGTCGCACTGACAGCGAGCGCGCGAACCATCCGCGATCAGCTGCGACCGCGGAAAAAACAGCTGAAACGGCGAACCCGCACTCTCGCGCACACACACACGCATATACACACACGTGTACGTACGCCCGAAAGGAAGACGCACGTGTGCGCGTACACAGGGCGAAAATCTCGCTCGCTCGCGACTCGCCTCTCCGAGAATAAAGGGATCGTCGCGCAGTGTGACAGGCGGCGAATTACGTGGACACCGCGTTCTCATGCCATGACATCGGCAGACGAAGACGCGCGCGAAGACTTACGACACTTCTCTCGCTCCCTCGACAGTCGTCAGAAGCGCGGAGAGAAACGGAGCGAACGCCACGCGCGCGCACCTTGCCGCGAGAGATTGCTCGCGATATGTGACTCAGCAATCGCGGCCCGACGACGTCGCGCGCTCGCCAGGGCCGCGGCGTCTTCCCCGCTCGCGCCACTCGCCAATCCGCCGCGAGACTCGCTCTCTCGCGCGCGCATCGATGTCGCATGATTATCATTGTTTCGCGCCTGATTTTATTCCTCCGTCCGTCCCGATCGATCCCGCTATCGCCTCGATAAGTGTTTCCGACACGCCGCGCACGTAATCCTCGTCGCGCGATAACACGCGCGCGGGTTCAAGCGAGGAGGAATGAAATAACCGCTCGGCAGCATCTCAGCCGACGTCTCGTTAAAATCAAATACGTCAACGCTGAATGCTCGAATAATACGCAATTTCGCGCGGACCCGCCGTTTGACGAAGCGTCGCTTCGAGTGAATTCAGATCATTGTAACGCAGACGGCGGAAATGCAAAGTCAATCAGGCCGTCGCGATAATGAGACCCGACCGCTACTGCGATTTACTGTGCATATTATTCGTGCATATGTTTATATAACACGGTGACTTTTATTTTCAGTTAGTAGATCTGCGCTCGGCGAGGAAAAAATATTTAGTGGTTATTGCGCAACTCTGTCTGCCTTGTGCGAGTGTGCGCAGGTGAGAATGAGAGTTTCGCGTTAAATTCCACGAGATTGTACTTTTAATCTCGCGTAGATCAGTTTCGTAGAATGAGTTTATCGGAGTCAAAGTTCTCACGTATATTCGGATCAAGGCGTAGTTGCGTCAGCGTATCAAATTGAAAAACGCGGTCGAAATCAATATTCCAATTTAGGATTGATTTCCATTAAACGTCGCTTCTCGACTCGGATAGTGTCGATGCGACGGGAGGGAATATGAAATATTGAAAATTTAAAGATTCCACAGCAGAACAGGCGGAAGGAGAGGTGTTTTCAGACATTCGTCGAGAATAAGTCGTCTCGAAGCTCAATGGGAAATACACTTCTGCGGTTTGATACAGGTCTTATGATCTTACGATCGTATCGTGCTAGCGTGTGCGGCTAGGTATGTGTTTAAAATACAGTCTATATACGACGGTATAGCGAAACGGCGATTATAGTGGAACGCGAAGTGCATATTAGCTCCAACGAATGGGTTACACGTGCGCTACTCTTATACGTTCCCGCAGTCTCGCGGCTTCGATTCGCTGGCGGGAGGCCCGTCTTCCGGCAGCTAATATCGTTAGCAACACAAAGTCTAACGCTGATTCTTTGATCAACGGATTTCTGCGTCGTAAAAATCGCCGCGGAGAAAAATTTCGTTTCACAAAAACCGCCGTTACTTGTATACCAATGAACGAAGCGTCATGAAGTTTGACACAGATGTCGAGGACAGTTGCGCCGAGAAATAAAAAGAACCTTAGAGATAAAAATGAATCTTGATATGCCGCGCTCAGTTTTAATTGAGCAACTTCACGAACTTTTGGAACAGAGTAGTATGTAGCTATTCATTTGACGCTTTATAGTTATATGTAAGTATACGTAAAACTCTGAGGTGTGCTTTCAATCGTAAGGCAAGATATCCTTTGTTCTGGAATTAAATATTGTTCTTCCAAAAAATTTCCTCGAGCTTAAATAGGTCGATTTTTTTCTCCCGAAAGAGAAGATCAAACGTGCAATCAAATGTTGAAAGAAGAGAAAGAAGGAAACCAGCTGATTACAAAATTTTTACGCGACACTATTATTTGATTGGATGTGAGAAATCAGCGGATATATAGGAAGTCGCATGATAAATTAATCGAAATTGAGTGACGCGATTTAGAGATCAACGTTTTACGAAGGACCATCAGTCGGTAAAACAGGCTGCTCAAAGTCGTTCGATGAGCCCGCGTGTTTGATTCGATCTGCAACGACGGCCGTCAGCTACATGTCGCTTTTCCGTGCACGATATGCATCATTTACGGTTATATTTATGACGGCAAACTTTGACCCGTGTCACGTGCCTCGGCTACTCGTGGCGTCGTTGCCACGTTTAGTCGCGCACGGGTTTCCACAAGCGCTTCACTGGCTGCACGTGTGTGCGTTTATATTGCGTGTACAGTCTCCACACATATCTACCTACTATCTCACGCATGCACAAATATATTATCGGCGCACTCACCTGATGCACGACCTTCGTCCGTGACGGCTCGTTACCTGGCGACATCGAGCGTATCCGCGGTAAATTCCCCGTCAACAGCATGCCTTCTCTCGATTCTTCGTCTTTCTCTTTTCTCTTTTCGAGAAGCAACGTTCCTTGTGATCTCCTCGCCTCGTGCGCGAAGCGTAGTCACGGATTCGCCCCGCCTGTCGAACCTTCACTGTTCCCGATCGCGACGGAACGTCACAGCGACGCTTCGCGCTCGTCTCGATACAGCACTCTCGTACGTAGCTATCGTTGATTTCCCGCGCGCATTATTATAGATTCTAACAACGAAGACATAGACTCCGATATTAGGCACGAGCAATACGCTCCGACAGCGTTTCGAAGTGTCGTCACCGTCCGAGCGCATTGGCGCCATTTACCACGCGACTTCTATGTAATTGACTAATCACGTCCACAAGAAAATTCTTTTTGTCCATCATTCTAAAACATGTTAAAAAATAAAAAAAAACAATAACGTTTCTCATCGCTCTTCATGAGATTCTATCGGTTATCCCGTTAAGAATCGATGCGGTAACATCGAAAAGCGCAAAGTATCAGAAATTTTCGAAATTTCGGTGAAATTCTCTAAATTTCGGAGGATGAAATATCTTTTTCCTTTTTCGGAATTTTAGCATTTCGTCGAGAATTCTAGTAGCTCCCCGAGTAGTTCCACCTTTTATCCTCCACGAATTAAAATGCTACGATTGAAAACTGAAAAGTTGCAGCGCTTCGCAGTCTCGGTGTTTAAGATTTTTTAAGAGGATGAAACTTCTTCGGAATTTCGACGTTTTGTTAAGAGTTCTATCAATTATCTTTGAAGATCGAGATTTGGTGTTTGCTGGATTTTAGTTTTATCTTTTGGCTCTCGATGTTTGATTCGCGATTGCTTTGTGTCCGTCATGTCTTTCTATTTTTTTAAAAGCGTATTTTACGTATAATCTGGATGCCGAATTAAGTGACAGGCGATCGTTTTAATATGCCAATCGGTCCGTTCGAGTGCAATTAAATGCGATGTCTCTTGATGATCGATACGATTACAGATAAACACGAGCAAAGTGAACGAATTCACCGTTTTTTGTTCGACGAAACGAATGCTTCGAGATTTGCTGTCTATATTTTTATTGTTTTTCCTGTCTCGGTAAGTGTGTGTCTTTCCTGTTCGCATTAGTATGCATAGAATTATACTCATTATTGGCATCGATGAAGTTATTAACGTTTCTCGGAATTTCGGAGGGCCGGTGGCAAATGAAAAATTTACTTACCGACTGCTTCGAAAATCAAATATGAAAGTAATACAAGTTGCCACCAGAGAGAGACTCTGTCTGTTTTTATAGTTTTTACGATTGATCGTAAAAATCTCTGAACGTCAATCATGCAAATTTGTTAGCGATAACGCGGCAAACGTATTTTTCTTCAGTTTTCCACTTGCTTCATATTATAATATATGCATAATGCTGCTACATGATCGTACTTACCCAATACGAACAACTTTGAAATCTGGAACGAACTGGATTGCAATGTTGCATTCAATATAATGTGGATTATTTAATATTACAATAAAATCTACTATATATATATATATATATTCATTTTTCTTTTCTATGAGTATATATATATATATATATATATATATATACAATTATAGAAAAAAAGTGAATTTAAACATAACGCTTTCTTGATTTGTTTACTTATAATAGTATATCATTTCTTCATTTATAATAGCATCTTGTTTTTCGTGAAATTTTCTCTTTCGTAAATTAAAATTATCTAGAAAAAACAAAAACACACACACACACGTACATTTGGTATACTTTAAACATATAATATATTCATTTGTATGCTTGTATATATCTGGTATTCTTTTATACAACAAAATAGCTATGACAACAGTACAGTTGAGAACGGTATACAATATATACTGTTACGTTGATAATTTATTCGTAAATATGGGATGCAAGACAGCCTTGTTCTCTTAAGACGTAATCGTGTCGTGATTGCATAAAATACAATAAGTATGTACTCTGGTATGTACTTGATTACTCTGGTGTACAGTCTTTCGGTGTAATATTTTTTTTTCCGTTTTATCTCGCGCGTACAATGGATTTGATATAATGAAGTTCTTCCTAGTAAGAAATATAAAATCGACATTGTTCATCCGCTTTCATAAATTGCTCACGTAAGGCTAACGAAACCTGACAAAATAACTGCACATGGACAGTAAAATGTGTGCCTATTGAAGATAATTTAAAGATCATCGATCGGACCTAAGCTCGCAGAGTTGCAGTGTTGATCGGCGAACGTAAGTGACGAGAGTATTCTGTACACATTCATACGAGTACTTTCGGATACCGTGAGAATATCGTTAAGTAGGCCAATCGGTTCGCATCTCGCGCGGATCGACGAGCGGACGCTTCCCTAAACGCTTCCGAAGCAATTTCGTTCGTTAACTCTTTAACAAGAAAGGAGAGAGAGAAAGAGAGGAGGGGGAGGGGGGAAGAGTATCCGTTAGTGAAAAAATATGCTATTTACAGATAAGGTTATTTTAGTTGTGCGTCGATTCGTTAATTCGCCTTTTGGAGTGTATCAAAATCTACTTAATGGGACGATGAAAGATTCACGGCTGTCGTTATTTACAGACTTTTCTCCGTATGCGAGAAATGATGTGCGTGTGTGCGCGCACGTGTATATATTTGTATGCGTCTAACGTCTTGGCTCGCTCATGCAAACCACGCAAACACGACGGACGCACGCAGAAAATTATCGGTCGAATAGAGCAATCCAATAAGGAAAAAATGCTAATAAGCATTAAATATATATAAGAGATAATGCCATTATACGGGGCATCGGTAATGGCAAGCGTAAACGGCAGTAGAGACTCGTGGTAAGGAAAAGTATCGAAGAACCGTCACGTTCCACGCATTCGTACGCGACGTCGAGTAATGTGTTTCGTTTAATTAACGAGTGCCTCGCTTTTAACTGGATATTCACGAGAGAATGCGAATTTAACGCTAAGATACACGACCGACCGACTGAGTTTCGACGAGTAACGAGAAATATTTGTAAAGTAAAAAATAGCGGGTATACACGAACGTTCGCGGACAGTTCGACGTTTTTTCCCGTTTCTTTCTTTTCCTTCGTCGGTTGGGGCAGGGACTTGTTTCGCAGTTGGCTTTAGACTCCCTAATATAATTATTAGACACTTCGCAGACTTTTCGCGCCTAATCCTACGTACTTATCGTTTAATAAAGATCCGTCTTCGTAGACGCGTGTGTCGCTTCACACGACGGACACCTAATTTTCTAAGGCTTAATCTTAGGAAGTTAAAACAATCGGTATCGTTAAGACAACTAATACGCAATACACTTAACGTGATAATCAAGTACTCGTTAAATACATCTCACCATCTCCCGGCGCTTATTGTCCATGTGTGGTTAACTGTACGATCGTGAAACGATAAACAGAGTTAGTACCAAAGTATAACGGGGAACTTAGTTGCTTCGCGTCTCGATCGCATTCGCACGGCTGTCACGTCCCGCTCTGCGGCTTTTTTCATAGAGCTAGCGATTATTATTAATCGATATCATCCTGCGTGCTAAACGCGACATTCGGAAACTGTGACACGTACACGAGGTCCTAGAAAAGTTCAGCTTTCGACGTTTCACGTCAGACGATCTCGATCTTTTATAAAGTAATCGGACTAACACGGCACACGTCTCCCTTACACGTTAATACATATACACTATATAAAGCGTCACGAGAGGTTATATAAATTTTATTTACTTTCTCATAATAAAATATCCACTTTTCTTTATTTTTTACGCTATTACTCCGCGTGGAGAACAATCAACTCCACACGAGACGTATCCCGCGCCTTCAGCGATCTCTAGCAAACACGAATACGCGACACACATATGGTACACATCGATCCCCTTTCTCCTTCCTTCCTTCCTTCTTTTTTCTTTATAATTAATTCGACGTGTGTCCACCTGGCCCTGCGGCCGAGTGCTCTAACGCCGTCTTTCGTTTCTCTCTGGACGGTGCTTGTGAAACACAGGCACAGACCCGAGCAATTTAGCGTATCACGCCTCTTTGCCGTGTATTGATATGCTACTTAAACTCGTGGAACAGTGTCGGGGAAAATGTTCACGAGCAACGCGAAGTTTCCAGTTTGTGTCCTCGTCTGATCACAGTTTATGCATTTGTAAATTATTAGTAATCATATATGCTAATTTCCTATATATTAGCGTACACAGCTATATAAAATATATGATATTTACAAATGCATATTCGAAGTCGCTGCTCGCCATTCGCGAGTGACATCTTGCCCGACACCAGTCGCGGGACGATCGCTCGTACAATCATGCTAAAACAATATTATCACGACAATGACATCATCACGATATATCATTATGACGTAACATCATTGTCATCTTAATCCTCTAACAGCAAGGTGGATTTTCAACGCGTCCAGGAAAGCGGGATCCGGCCTCATGCTCTGTTTTGTTCATTTTTCATGTAATCGATGTACAAAAGGAATGAAAGAGGCAAATAATAACATGAAACATTCTTTGAGAAGAGAAACAGCGTGCGTGCACGCTGTCAAATAAACGAGCCATGGGGTCACATCCGATCTCGACCTTACCGTTAGAAGTTTGATGCTATTGTGAAAAATCATCATGATCGACAATATTATTTCTAAATCGCCACCAATGCCTTATAGTAAATTATACATGCACGAATCGTATATTCTCGAACGGTGTAATTAGCGCTCTTCTCTACGACAAATTCGCCGCGAAAGCTCGACCCTTTCCGTTAAATTAGTAACTTACTGAATGGCTCAGGGATGTGGCATGAACGTATCACGTGGAGGTGATTATCGTCGTTCCTCGTTGTAATAAAGTACATTGAACTCGGGGGACTATGCTTTCAGAATCAATAGGCGTATGTCATTAGCCTCACTTGTCGAACGTCGGGTCAACGACCACCCTAGGAACAACGATGTATGTGTCTGCTCTCATTATCCCTCTTTACACTTAATGATCCGACCGGCACGCACTGCGTGCACGTTTGTTAAATAAATAGATACTTTCGAAAGTGCGTATAAATCGGTGTATAATGTATTACATACAAACAGTTCGGCTTTTCGTCCGTGCGCGTTCAAGAGACCCTTCCCGGCAAGCGAACTATGATAATGAGATTTTGTACAGAGAGAGAGAGAGGAAGAGAGAGAGAGAGAGAAAGAGAGAGGGAGAGAGAAAGAATATCTTTCTCTCGTCAGGGGATACGATTTGTCCTCGTCCAAGGATTGTCGCCCTTTAAAGTTTAAGCTTCGCCTGGCGGAGACGGTCTCCCAACGGAGTTGACGGGAATAGGTGTCTTTTGATCTGCGAATTTACATCTAGATGATGAATGAGATTCTTCCTTCGCCCCCTGAGTAATACGTCTCGGAGAGGTTTCGCTTCTCGTTCTTTCTTATTATTTTTTTTCTCCCTCTTTGTAGGCTGTATCACGTATCTTTCCGGAGTATCGCGTATGAATAAAAACTGTAGAAAAAATAACCGTAGCGTCGTAACGACTGAATGCACGCTTCAGCTCACTACCATGCTATTCTCGTCGTTATCCTGCGGAGGGCGTGGAATAATTGTCACCGTTTATCACCGCGTCTATGCAATCCCCGTTGTGCTTCACCCAGTTAATGTTGGACTTGATCTTCTCTAAGCTCTGTTTCAAGGTGCGCATACCGCTGCCAACTTCGACGTGTTTGAAGAACTCCGAGATCTGTACAAGAGAGAGAGAGAGAGAGAGAAAGAGAAAAGAAACGAGACGATTAAACGACAGGAACTCGCGGCGGTAACTTCAATGAGGGAGGTTTTCGCGCGCTTTTAAACGACGACTTATTCTCCTACCTCTTGATAATCGTATTCCGTGTTGAAGAAAGGAACAACGTCGGTTATCAGTCCGCTCATCGCGACCGACACGTTTCCGAATAGGGTCTGCATGTTCGGCCAGTAGGCTTTAATGTGACGCCAAGCGAGGTGACGACCATTTTCATTGGAGGCGACGGACCATATGACGGTCCCGATATCTTGCGCCCTGATCAGATCCTGGTTCAGCGACAGCAGGAGGTAACGCTGCAGCAGCCAGACATCCGTCGTCGCGCCCAAAGCTTGCAACAATATCTGCCTCTCACTGGACACCTCGGTCTTCAGATAAGTTTCCCAGCAACGAGACCACGCTTCCTCGCCGCTGTACTTGATACCTGCAAATACCTTCGTACTGTGGCACCTGGCGCTTCCAATTGGAACGATTCAAATATTAAATGGTGTACGCCATGTATCATCATTCTTTACCTGTCGCGTAAACGACATCTCGTATGTCGGGCGGAACAGGCACGCCCGTGCTCATCCACTTAACAAAGAGACTTTTCGCGGGCTGCAACTCACTATCCATTCCTAGGATGACAGCGGATTTCATTACCGAATTTCTTAGAAATCTGCGTTGAAATAATAAGACAACACTTGAAATAGCATATCCTATTTATTCAACCACCGAATATCTAACGATCGTTCCGGGCACAAGAGCGAGATGTGCTCGAAAGTGTTATACTGACTTTTTCATGTGAGGCCCTTCGTTGCTCCAACCGACGTATTCTATCACCGGCCTCAGTAGCTTCCGGAAGAATATGGTGAACTTCTTGTACACGGTATGTTCGTAGAGCTTCTTCCTCCAAGCGTGCAGAAACTCCTGAGCGGTATGCCACGGTACGTAGTCTCTTTCGTAGACGAGGTAAGACGAGAGATTTAACGGAATCGCGATGTCCAGCATACCCGCCTCGTTGAGGGTGAAAGCGTCGTCGATGAGATTCGCCCGATCCGCCGGACTGAATACTGTGTGATTCTCGTGCAAGGTCTGTATGATCGCGGCCCACATTTCCTCCGTGTAATTAACCCGATAGAAGCCAGTTTGGTTTACGTTGCACTTGATATACTTGACATCGTACGGCGACATTTCCCATATTTCGACTAAACGAAACAACGACAATTGAACTTAATTTCCCAATCAGCGTGGGTAGAGAGAATGTGACGAACTGATATGATTTATTCCCTTTTATTAAATGGACATATACCGGGTGTTTCAGAACCAATGGGGCAAACTTCAGATGTCTCACCGAGAGAATGAATTTTTGTAAGGAGACCCATGTCCTACGACGCGTCCGAACAAAGACGCATAGCTCTTTGAGAGTTTTATAATTTGCTAATTTTTTTGTTTTTCGAATAAAGTCTACGCCGTCCTCGCCTGTATCAGCCTGTATATTGTAATCGTACAAAAGGAATTATAATTCCGTGCGGCCGGTAATAAATATAATACCAACGAAATTTCGATAAAACAAGACGACTGCCGGGACCTTTTAAGGACGCGTCGAGTAACATGGATTCCTTGAGAAAAATTGATTCACTTGGTGAGACCTACCATTCTCCGAAGCTTGTCCCGTTGATCCTGAAACACCTTGAATAATAAATTTCGATGTAATTGTCCTGTTTATTACCAGTAGTCATATTCAACCACACTTTGCGAATCTCGTGCGGTTGTTTGTCCGTGTAGTAAGTCACCGGGATGTACCACCTGTAGTCGAAGGGTGATTTCGGCTCTAGGACGTCAGTTTTGTTTTTCGGCGGTGTCATGAGGAATCTTTTCTGATATAACTTGATCGTGTCGCCGTCTCGAGTGACGATTATAAGCGGAAAGCCCATCTGCTGCGTCCAAGTGCCCATCACCGCCTGCCGACATTGTCAATTTCGTTATTTCGTTGCGCGGGAACACGCATGCGACCTGTCATTCGCTCTTCACATATTATACTTACTTTTATATCGTGGGTATTATTCAAGCTCCTCGAGAAAGCCGCCCACAGATCGTCGGTGTCCGCGCTTTTGTAGGCGTGTAAATTTAGATAGTCGTTCAGCCCGGTCTTGAAAACGTCCTCGCCCATAAACCTTTCCAGCATGTAGAGAATGGCGCTGCCTTTGTAATAGCTGATCTCATCGAAGATGCTTTCTATCTCGCTAGGATCCTCGACTGATACATTTATCGGATGACTATTGGACAGAGCGTCGAGGCGAAGCGCCGGCTGCGTTTTGTATATGACGAACGTGTCCATTATGTTCCACTCGGGCGAGAAGTTGTGCACACCCTTGTACTCGAAGAAACTGGCCGCTCCCTCGTTCAGCCAGATATCGTTCCACCACCTCATCGTGACGAGATTGCCGAACCATTGGTGCGCCAATTCGTGGGCTATGGTGACGGCTATGCCCTCCCTTGCTTCGAGGGACGTTTCCTTCGGGTCAAGCAGTATCGCCACTTCTCGGAAGGTGATTAGGCCCCAATTTTCCATAGCACCGGACGCGAAGTTGGGAATTGCTATTAAATCTGATAACACACGACGATAGTTACGATAATAAAAATGATATTGATGATTTGCATCTCATCTCAATAATTAAGAATTCATGATTTTGGTAACCCTCTCCGATAACTCGTTTGTTTAACGTCCTGAGAAGGGCTAAGCTTCGATCTCAGTGGGTAAACGAGAGAAGGGGGCGACGTAAAACACGGTGCACTGCGATGCGAACAGCTTTTGGACACTTGATATGATTTAAAGAGGACGTACCTTGCTTTGGCAAAGGATACGGTATGCCAAAGTAAGACTCGAAGTAAGCCATAATATCAGCAGCGGTGTCCGCGGCATACACCGCCTGCGGGAGCAGATGCTCCGCGACATACACGTGTATGTCTCCTCTGTTCTTCGAAGTGACCGGTTTAAAGTCGCACACCACAAAGGCCACCAAGTACGTCGACATCTCCACGGACTCTTGAAAGTCGTCTCGTAACTGAGAAGTAACGTTTTTCTAAATCAGGCTAATGCAGATGCGGTCTCTCGCAGGTGATACCGTAATCGCAATAATATGGATCATGATTCACGATCGGTAGAGCGAAAATGTCGGATAATTATTCTTATGATTACGACGATGACGGCGAAGATGGCGCATCGAATACTGCGATCCTGTGGCAAACGCGTGCGTACTTACGATGCTTGAGCCGAGATAAAATCCAGCCTCGTCGGTATTTATCACGGGCATGTTGCATAACGCGATATGGAATCTGTCCCTGTATATCGACACCTTGAACTTGGCTTTGAACTGCGGCTCGTCAAAGCACGGGAAGGCGGTGCGCGCGAACGTCGGTTCGAAGTGAGTGGCAGCCACATGCCTGAAAATCGACGGTAGGACGTTCGGGATGAAGAATTTCACGCTTCGCCCGTTTTCGGCCGATGACGCATCCGTGAAACGATTTCGATCGTACGAGAAATGGCCACGGTTTCGGGCTGACCTTGTTTCCCCTGTGGGTGTGCTGTAGCTGCTGAGATAGAACCCGTCGAGCTCGGTGGACAGCTTCGAAGCGAATCTCAAGTGCAACGTGTAGTTCGTTTTCCTTCGGAAAGTGCCGTCCAATTCGAGATATATCTGCTCGCGCGGCGGATACTCCAGAAACTTGGCGATTTTCAACTTCGAAGTTTTGCGCTGCTCTTGGACCATCTGAAAGCCGACTCTCGACGATTACGATCGATTGGCACGCGTGGTGATCGTCGCGCGGCGCGTTCTATCGTTCTGTTCCCTCGGATGTTTACTTACTTTTTCCGTGATTATCAAGCCGCTACTATGGAAGACGATATATTTGGTGTCTTCATCGACATACAGTTCGATCGTAACTTGCCCTACAACGGAGAACGAGAACGGTGAGTTGATTAATCGCGGAGGGAAGTGTCACGCGATTCCGAACAGCCCAGCTGCTCGATCTTACCCCTGACTCTCGAGGTGGTGAGATTCGGATGGATGGAAATATTGTACCTAGTAGGATGTGCAAATGTGGGCAATCTTATGCTGTTCCATGGGAACACCTGCAAGAGTTCTCACTGTACTCGATAATCTGCGTGGTATTTTCAGTATTATTAAACATGCACGGCAGATAGATAGGCGCACACTCTCGTGTCCACCGATTGATTTTCCGCTACGTTAGCCCGAATATGCAGCTGCCTGATTTCAGGTGAACGTGTTCTACCGTACGAATAGAAACTGGAAACTAAATTTAGCTTCGTGACAATATGTAATACACAGGAAGTATTTACGCCATCCAAACAAGTAATCAGACGAATCGCTCGATTCGCATCATACGAGACGGTTCTTCGAAAAATGAGAAAGTTTTACGCGATTTTGGTTTCATTAACTTTGTTGGCATTCTCATGCGGGTCCAAATCTGCACCCACCTCGTTCGAAGTCGATAGAAGCACGGTGCTCTTTTTACTTATTTCCGTGCTGTCCATCTTCTTCTCCTCGCAAGGGCAGACTGAAAGGAAAAAAGTAGATAATATGTAAAAGAGGATGATAATGAGAAAACGCGGCAAGTGTGACCTTTGTGTATTGTAGAAATGAAGCATGTATGAAGTTGAAGGATCATAGGATCGTATTAAAGCGACATTTAAGTACCATTTGCTGGTCTGGCGAAGGCAATGATAATTGCAACGCCTAAGACCGTGAAGAGGCAGGTCAGGACGAAGCAGACGGCCCTTCCCCGAGAACACACAATGGTGAACCCATCGCGCTCGTAACTACGTGTCCGCTCTTGCCTTACATCTCTGTCGCTACCTGTTGGAATAAAGGATTTCCTGATGAAAATTCAACGCATCCCGACGAGATCGCGCGCTACGATCGCGTTCCGCCGCAATCTTCATTTACGACCAATTATCCAATAACTGGCCATACAGCTCTCAACGATAGTTCTATCGATACATGTGACAATAATAATCTAATCACAATACGTTTCTCCTTATCAGTCGCCTTTCACTTTCGCGCATTTTTCCATAGCGCGAATCGATACGAGTGTCATTCACTTCCCAGAAATCACGTATGCTCCGTCATTCTCCTTAGAATCAACGCCGCAGTTTCAGTGTCTGACTTAACCCCGGAGCTCGCATTGCTTCTCCACGGAGGAGCCGAAATGCGTCCATTTCAAAATTGCGCGAGCTGCCGCGCTATTCTCTCTCTTTTCTCTCTCTACACGTTTGTTCCCGCAAATGTGCCGTTTCTCACGGCGGTCGCGTACACAGGTGTGTGCGTACAACGCAACCGCCGAACAACGTTAACAACGTGTCACGCGACGTATCTGCTTCCGCTGTCAATAAACGGGCCTCTAATAACAAAAGCCGTCAAGCCGAGAAGTATCGATACGAGCGCGTGGCCGAGAACGAAGCGGTCGGTTACGTACGCTTTAATTCGGAAGATCAGAGGAAGCTCTCCTCTTATTGATCGCGCACACGTGCTTCTCGTACAGTCTATTCGCAGCACCCCGGAGGGCTGTAAGTGGGCCATCTGGTCGAGCCATTCTTACGGAAAAGGAACCGTCCGCGGGTGCAATGAACGCGCGTCAAAGGCGTAGGGGCGCGTTAAACGTTGAGAAGTCGTCGTCGCGCGACGACGAGTTAAAGGACCTCGCGGGCGCATCCTAATTCTCACCTGTCAGAAAGGCAACGTCATCGACATCCTGCTCGCTCATCGCGAACCGATTCGGCGGCGGTCTCCGATGAACGAGTTCTTTTACCTGACCGTCTTTCGAGGCATAGGCGACTTTAATGAGGGGCTCTCTCTGTTCAGCCAGTATTCGTGTGGCACTCGATCGTCGCCTCGTCGCTTCCCCCCTCGGCCGGACGTTACTTTCGCCGCTGGACCGTCCGCCTCAAGGTTAAGGGATTCAGGGTGAAGTCGCCTCAGGTGCACACCGTGAATGAGCCGGTTGCTCGCATCAATTACTACCGGCAGGAGGGCGGCCGAGGTAACGTCCGCCAGCAGGGAATCCGATAGTCGTGTCAACACGGCCGAAATCGGAGCAACGTGGCCCCGAATTTCTCGTCGTCTGCCGGCCAGCTCCGTGCAGCAGGGCCACCGAAACTCCTTTCTCTCTCTCTCTCTCTCTATCGATGATGGCTGATCGATAGCGCGCGCGACGCGCGTGGGATTCAGGAAGCAACACACCAGGAACACGAGAGCGCTTAATCGGCGTGGGTGAGCCGACTACTCGTGCGTGACGTTCCTGACCCACCGAGCACAAACGCGAGCAGAACTCCGTGGAACACCGCCGCCGGTAGCGCAACCGCGATCCACCCCACCGCGACGATCCGCGAGCTTGTCAAACTCGAGCCGAGCGGTCCGACACCGTCGGCGGGTCTATGACGCGCGGCGTGCCTTGACATTTCATCGGCATTAAAAGCGTGGGATATAGCTACTGCGGAGTTAGGTAGAAATGGCGTCTGTCCAAACCCCCTGGTGGCGGAGCTGCTTTACGGGGGTGGTTTTGCCGGTCCTCGCCTCCGGTTAGGGGTGGCTCGCTATCACGGTGGCGCCATCCCTGATCCGCGTTTTGCAACCCCGTCCAGCCGGTGGCCCACCGTGACATTTGTATCAGCCGCGGGACCAGCCAACCGAACGACGTCGCAGGCTCATGGGGTGTTCAGGATTTTTCGCCTTCAACACGCCCGACACCTTATGCTTTCGCGTTCATCCGAGCCAACGGTCTGCTCAGTGTTGCGGTAGAGCGACTAGAACTAATGCTAATTGATCGTCTATTGATATATCGTTGAAATATCGGAGACGTTTACAGCTACTATAGTAAAGAAAGACCTGAGATATATATATATATATATATATATATAGCGTCACGGAAATTTGTATGCACTCCTTGGCGAAGGATTGTCTTCCGTCGCTTTCTTCTCAGCTTGTTGTCGAGATGAGAATTTTGAATAGAATCGAGATAAGGCAGCTCTTCGTTCTATCGTTTGTCATAAGAGCTACTTCGTAACTCCGCATGCGTGGTGGAACATGTTTTCGGTGTATAAGTAGAGAGTGAATGTATGTAGCTCACACGAGATCTGACCCCTTCGAGATCATAATCGGGGGCAAGTTGCGAGCGGATCGGAGTTCTTTAGAAGGATGTCGTATCGATTTTCTCTTCGCCACGAGGCTCCTTCGACGATTATATCGGTTCGTTCTACCGAAATATCGCTCGCGCTTTTACTCCCGACGGAAAAGACCGCTCTAGTGATTTCGGCTTCGCGATTAAATTCTGAGTAAAATCTCAAGTCCAGAAGACTTTGAGATGATAAAGATAGAACAGCTTCTTTATCCGCGATTTATTCAATCCACTTCATGACTTACTCCGTCTATTTGAAAAGTCTCATAAATTCTGGACATTCTCGTACGACGTATAGATTCGTGCCAAGAACGACTGAGAGGGACTAAAGAGACTGCCATAAAATATATAGCTTTGCAACTGTACAGAAAAGTCCGAACGCGCGTGAAGAAAGTATATTTGATTGAAAAATATTCGCGAAAAGTATGTTCAATGACTTCAATTCAATGAGAAAATCAAACTATTTTATAGGATACAATGTTAATTATCATAATTATTTGGTATACAATTTCTCCGTGGATTCATAGATAGTTAAATTTTATAAAGGAATATCTGCCTCTTATTGCAGATTATATGTAAATCTATGAATAATGTTTTCAGAAGTACATCCGTGAGAATTTGCCTGCGATCCGGCAAAGTTTAAGAGTCAATAGTGTACAAGCTAATTCCAAGACTGACAAATATCGATGAGGAAGGCGAGTTTATAAACGGTTGAACTTTTGAACTTGTGACCCCGTACGTTTTGTCGCTGTTGTTCCGGTCTCTTTCAGCCACGAAAAGGATAGGCGTTGTACGATATAAATTATTCAGATATTTCACAGTGAGTTGGAGTTTCGTTTCAAAATATATTTTGTGACCAGTCGAACGTGTCTCGATCCCGGACGAAACATATTAAAACATTCATGTACTTTCCGACTGCGATACATCCGGCGAAGTTACACAGCCCGAAAGCATCGGAGTTAAAAGTCGACCTTCTTTCCAGTCGATTTAGTTCCGGAACGCGCGCCATCGGTAGCACGTCTTTCCATAATCAATTAAACACGAGGGCAATAAATAAGAAAAGAGCTGTACTGAAGGATGTATTCAGCTTGAAAGTATATCTATATAGAGCCGTGATTGTAGATTAATAAGAAGGATTATTATTTACTTGTCATGAGAATCTTAATAGTATTCAGCTATAATCCCGAATATAAGCCAAATAATATTTCAAACTTGCGCGTAACGCTTCTATTCGATTGTCGAATCGACCACGTAAATTTATTAATTCACTAGACGAGTTAACGAATTTAATTTAAAGTTATATTATTAATTTAAAACATCACATTCTTATATGTTTATTTACACAATAAATAATTCTGTGTCAACAACGATGTATTGAAATTCTTGTGTTATTTTAACAAAAAGAATATGTTAGAAAGTAATATATTGACAAGATAAATATATTAATTTAATATTTGTGTACTTTTTAAAATATCCTTCATGTTAAAATAATACAAAAATTTCAGTAGATTGTTGTTAACACAACATTTTTTACTGTGCATTTACATTTATATTGTTTTCTTTTGTAGACACACGGCAATATTAAGATTATTCCACTACGTATCGAACTGCTATGCGAGGCCGCAAATCTAACAATTTTCCTTCGTCGGGGTTAATCTTTAGATTTTCTCGAAGTTAAATTTGTATCATGAGAGTAAGTCACGAAGGGCATAAATTCGTGAGCAATTTTAATGTATATGCGAGTACAGACACGCGAGCATCTAGGGGATAATATATCGTATAATTCCAATTTTAAGAAATGCGAAATATAAACGGATGAAAATTGAAATTCTTCGTGCGATTTATGCAATAATTTTAATAGAATTCAGTAAGACAAATCAGTGAAATGCAAATTATTTCATATCCTTCACTTGTTTTGTCACGAGGAATTATTTGTCGATTTTATGACGGTGGATACTTTGGGCCATATTTTAACCACATATTCAACGTTCAAATGTGGCTATCCGATTCTAAATCTTTTATACTTGTCTTGCACGAAGATTACATATATACGTACATACATATATATACATGCAACAAAGCTTCTCACAAAGTAATTCTTATTAATGCATACCTTGAGTTGGCTCTTCTTCTGGTATTGCTATCTTTTGCTCCTGTTCCGACAAAGATTGCCTAGAAGGAATCTGAGAAGGATCCCGAGAAGAAGGCCTAGAACCGCTTCTGATGAACTGTAACTCTACTTCTTCATCAGTCATTGTACTTCTATACTCTTCTTTCTTCGCTTCTACTCCGTTTGGTCTTTTATTCGACAAGCCCGGAGCTACGTGTGAACGATCGGTATTACGTGCTCTCACTCTCTCTTTCTTCAAAGCGCGCGAATTTTCAGCTTCATCTCTCTTTCGAAGCCTTCTGCTTGTCAAGTCACATGTTTCATGATTGATATTATCAACGTGAGCGAGCATCGGCGTCTTCTAATTGGCTTTTTCTTTACATTGTACTCTGAGGAAAATAAACACAGTAGTCGCAGATCTTTTGCCATCGTTGGGTAGGTTCACGATGGTATCGATCGCTCCTTTCTTGTACCATGTGTAATGTTCATGTACGAAAATTAAACGGAGCTATTCTCTTGGTAACTGTGTTACAATTAAGGCTCTACTTCGGCTACAATGTGCCTGCACATGCACGATGCGACGGCATTCGCATATTGGTCCCAGTATCGCGATATGTTGCGTTCGACGGTACAAGTGATGAACTCGTTTTTGTTATTCGGTCATAGTGTAAGTGGTTTCTCGTATAAAAGCGAAACGTGATGGCCCGGCAAGTGAATGCGATCTATACCTGAGAGAGATACTTTCTTCGTAAAGTATATACGTGATTTCACATCGACTCAATGCGAAAATATTCTATTCTCAGGTCGCTATACGGAGGAGGTTTTATCTTCTACGTGTCGATCGAGCCTATGTGTCCTTGTGCGCGATGCGACGTGAATAATTACAAGTTAAAGAGAGCTCTCGCGACGAAGTGTACTCTTGTGAATTATAGACGGTAATTAATCAGCCTTCTACCCCCGTTCTACCTCGTGTCGTTGATTAGCTTTGAACACGACGATAATACATTTCTCTTTACAAAAAGGTCGCTGTACACGTCCAACCAACTTACATCTGCAACATATAATCGAGTACCAGGCGTAATTATAATTTTCTTATACATGGCTGCGGCGTAATTGACATAATAAAAAAAAAATGTAGATAGGAAAGATTATTCTTGCCAAGCCTCACTCTCAACGCTAATTATATTTTGATATAATTATTTATATATTATAGATGTATAATTAAAGAATTATATAGTTTCCATCTGTTTGATCTATTTGAGCGGTTAATGAACGTTGAGCGTTTGAATTATTCGTTTACTTTACTTACTTTTTATTATTCGCTACTGCAAATGAACGTAGGATATGTATTTCGAGACTGTATGCAAGACGACAACAGTTTTCATTCGACTTATTATGCGCGATTTTGCATCGGGAAATTTTTGCGTTCGGCTTTTACACGATGTTTTGGTGAAAGCGTGTCTTGTACTCCGCGCGAAAAGAGCTTAGGAGCGAGCCACTTTTGATGGAAACGCATTTGGTGACGATTGCGCGCGTTGTACGTTACGTTACCTAAGTATCGGTGAAATAAATTAATCGCATTTGTTTCCTAGCATTCGTACATTGCACTAATTCATTGTCAAAACTTGAACTTATATTCGATAGAATATAACATCGAAATTCGTTTTATTTTGGAACTTCCGAATGACGTGTAATTTTACTTCTCGTCATAAAATTGAACGAAGATTCGAAAGTAAATCAACTCCAAGCGCGAAAGTGAGGCGGGACGCGTTTCGATTTTATTGGAACGCCGCACGTATGAATATGCGTATACAAGCACGCATTTAAAAGCGTGCGATGTACGAGAAGCTCGCGATAGAATATTGACCCTGTCTAGACGATTGCCGAGAAGTACTTCGAAACGAAAACGTAATATATATATATACGTATATACACATCCCTATATAAAATAAACACTTGAGTCTCAATTGCGCCGCTGATAATTCGGAGTTCGCGAGCGTGCGAGCGAAATATTCGGCCTCCTCCCCCCGCCCAATTCGTATCGCAATCTTTCCAAATTTGCGTAACATCGCGACGAGACTTCACATTCGCTTTCGCTTCTAACATCGGACGAACACGAGCAGTAAGAAGAAAAAGGGCGGAAAAGTCCTACTCACCTATCTTTAGCCGCGTTCAACATCGATCAGCAGTATTCGATGTCCGCTTTCGGGGGAGGGGAACCTCGACGGCGATCGTCGTGGATCACGGCTAATCGCGGGTACGTCGTTGATCACGGTGACGAGCGGCTAACCGAGGACGCATCGCCCACCATCAACAAAACCGTACTGTCTTGGACGCGCCGGCCGCTTTCCCCGACAACAACATCCGCGCACCTCTTTCGCACACCGACCTCACACTCGCGTAGACGAGAGAACGAGCGAAGCGTTAAGCTCGCGGTCGCCGCATCGCCAGGACTAAAGCTTCACCACGGCGGGCAGAACTCGGGGAGCCGGCACGCCGCTCATCATCACCCCCGGGGGTTGCTTCGCGACGCTCCGCGCGCGATCTCCGTCCCTCGTTGCACCGACCCCCACCTGCATCCGAGCGCGCATCACCGTCGTCGCCCGATGACGATCAGCACGTCGCGCACCGACGCGGATCGAGGTTGTCCTCGACGACGGAAAGAGAGAGACAGAGAGACTACGTGCAAACGGCCGCGCGGTGAGAATGGCACTGATGATGCCAGCGGAGGCGCTTCAAGGATCGAGCGTGGGTGAATTTCCGGACGCAGAGAGGCGCGCCGGTCAGGATCAGCCACAGGTTGCGCCCGTCTCGTTCACGCAGGTCGGGCATCTTGGCTGATCGCCGACCGGCGAGAGTGGTGGCGGTGGTGGCGGCGATGGCGGTGGTGGCGGCGGCGGTGTGCATCCCAACGGGGGAGAAAGCCGGCGAGAAAGAGGGAGTGAAACGGGAGAAATCGATTTACTTGATATCCGGAATATCTCTTCGGTCCTTTCAAGGGTCAGGTGGGATTCGGCATCGTTTAATCGCGCCGAATTCGCCCGATGCGTGTTCAACCGAACCGGTATCGAAGCGCAGTCGCGCATGCATGGCGATGGGATTTTTTTCTCGATCGTTTCGTTTCGTCGACCAAAGCAAGATCGGATTGCCGGCTTCCGAGGGTCGTTGGATAAATGTACTCGAACGATATATCGCGATATTGTTAGGTTGTGCTATTTTATGTTACATATTAACGAGACGTCATCACGTCTTTTAATCTCTTATTAAATATATCCAGCTGAAATACTTCACGAGTTTCGGGAAGAACTATCTTTACGATGGAGATAAGTCGATATGATTTTTTATGTCGGCTTATGTCTGCACTGACGTTTCGCTCGAAGTGTATCTTAGATCGAGATTTTATTCTGTGAAAAAAATGAGAGCGCAAGATATCATAGATAACATAGATGTTTGATATATTTATTCGCCTATTAATATATTTGAGCTGCGTTCTCTTTTGGGCGCTTATGCGCCGTAAGCGTCATTCTATTTTCTTTCAAGACAAAAAACAATAAAGATAGAATGACATCTAATATAAAATATGAGCGCTCAAAGAGAACGCAGTCATTGGATCGGCGCGAAAATTCGTTCCGGTTATCATCAGTTTTTTGCTCAGAAATCCCAGAATTTTTATGGGATTATGCGGTTACCTGCTCGTCGAAGAAAACGACGCATATTTAAATAATTGATTGCATTTAAAAATAAATAAATATTACATTTACCTATTGATTTAAAAGAGTGAACTTCGCATCGACCCAATAATATTTCATGGAAACTCGTTTTATTTGAATCGATACACGCGACGCACACAGCTGGCCGCGTCGTATACATTTTAAGGGTCAAAGGAAATCCGAAGAAAATCTTTCGACTAAATTTATAGAACTTTTATACGCTTCTTCTATGCTCTGCTTTATATAAAGCGTCGCTGGCTTATATACAGCGCGCTATTATTAGGTGTGCCGGAAAATAAACAACCTTTCTTATGCGATTTCTGCAAGAGTGAATATTGTTTACGCGCCGGTTTAGGAATATAATTTGTAATACCTGATCTATCTTACGGGACGTTATGTATGTCGACCGCTGATCGCGGCTTGTTCTAAGACTTCTGTGAATGCATAGACAAATATGATTCACAATTAATAGATGAAAGGAAGTGTGACACCCCGTATACGCACTAAGTTGCTCTGATAAACATTGCTGGCTTACTTTTCTTTGTACAAGTGTATTTAAGATAACCGAACGATACGTTATCTAGAATACGATAAAGAAATGCGGCGACCGCTACAACCGTAAATACTCATGCGACAACCTCACAATTGTGAAGGTTGGCTTGCGTGAAACTACTTGACAGCAACATTTCGAGACAAGATGCATAGCGTAAGTGTTGGGGTGGCGGTGGGATTGTGCGTTTCGAGTTTTATTCTCCGTTCCGTTCGTAACCGTTCGTTGATCGCACGCTGCAGATGTCATTCCACGGCGGCGTCGCGGAAACCATTCTGTTTCATGACTGGCGCATTAATAACGCCCAAGGAATGATCGGTTCCGTGGTCGGTATCATTCTTCTGACCGCGTTGTACGAAGGGCTGAAGTCTTATCGGTGAGTAACGGTGGCTAACGAGCGCTTGCGAACGGCTCGTCATTTACCAGCAGGTGTGGATTGCAGTGAGTACCTTTACGCGCGCACGACGTTCTTCAGGAGGAGTCAGCAGAAGAAGTCGAGAAAGTACGTATGAACGATACCCGCTTGTTTGCCGTTCTGGCCGCGTTTTCCGTCGCGTTTTCAATTCACCGGCGGGACTTTTGTCGTTGCAGAGCACTCCTGTTCTCCGGGATTCATCTCTTTCAAACGTTCCTACACGTGATCCAGGTGGTGCTCGGCTATTTTCTCATGTTTATTTTTATGACGTACAACTATTGGATCTGCATCGCCGTGGGTGTCGGGACGGCTCTCGGATATTGGTTATTTGCGTGGGAGAAATCTAGTAACGAAAATACGGAATGTTGCTCGTAGATATATCGTTGTAAGAATAACTGTAATACAGAGAGTGGCGATAATAAATCGATGGACTATTCGGCACGCTCTTCTGTTCGCTGAAGAACGGGATAAATTAACAATGGATGACGATATCCGCTTGTTACTTCCTTACGCGTCTGTTTGTGTGAAATGCCGTGCATATCTATGCGAAATCGTACTTTTTCCTGCTCGATTGTCCCGTGCAAGAGATTGAGTTCTGAGTAATGACTCAAATAAGACGGCATTCGTGTGTTTCAGCAGATAAGCATACGCGAAACTTCGCTGATCAATTTTCATAGTCTCGAGCAATTGGATATCATTTTACTCGCTATCTAATCTGTCTTTTCCGTTTATTGCCTGAAGCACCGTGTCTGTTTCGTTCATTCGTAGTATCAGCCAGGGTAGGTGAATCATCGGCTGGCATCGAGTAATTCTTCATTCATCGCCGATCAGCGATCATCAGAATCAAACGGACGATGGAGAGCAATCAGAGCTGCACATCGATTTGTTGCATGGAATCCAACGATCGTATGCGACAATGTACTTCAATTCGCCAAATTATCTTCGGGTGGGACAGATTCAATGCCGTAGCGTGGTTGCTGCTACTCGTACTCTTCTGCATTTGGTGTATGACTTTCTTCCTTACCTACGCGAAACCGGATGATGATATGCATATGGATATGGATATGTAATATGTGTACTGATAAGATCGTTCCCATCGTCATCATAAAAGAATGAAGAAAAACGTGAGTACTTGTAATTATTTTTATTTGATTGACAAATCTGAATTCGGTCAATTAGTAATTAAAAATTGTTTTAATTACATCGTTGAAATTTGTATCTCTCTCTTCGTGCTATTTTATTCGGGCTCTCTTCTTTTCACATATTTCTTTGACATTGACTATAATTGACACGATAAAACCAATCGATACCTATCTGTCTGATAGAATTGATTAAGAGGATGTGTATTTTTATTTAATTACTTATTTAATTACTTACACTTATCTATATGTGATTTATTTAGGTATAATTGAACAAGTATCAAGAGCGAATGATCGGACTTATTAACTGGCGTACTTGTGCTGCTTCATCGATGAAAGCTTGAAGTACACGACGATTATTAATTGGAAGGAAGACGTTGTTTTGGTAAAGATAAATTTGCGAAGAAAAAATGTCTCGCATATACCCTGTATGTTTGATAAATAATAAAAAATAAAGATTTTGCTCTCTCGATAAATGCACGTTTATATTTTTCTAGTATATCGTATCTCTTGCCACAAAATCTTTCGCGGTATCGAAATATTTTGACGTTGGAGCCGTCAGAATCTTTAGAATAAATTTCAAGGTGAATGGATTGAAAGGCGATCTCTTGGGCGTTGAGGTACTTCGGATAGCAATTTAATCGTTTTGTCGGTGAAAAAATGTTCGCCGTTACGATAAAGTTGTCCCATTAAAAATTACGTCATCGAAGAGTTCGCAAACGATTTATAATAAATGTAACAGGTATAACGGCTCATAATTACGTCATATTTTAAATAACAGTTGTATGGACACATGAACAAAGTGTTTGTTGAAATATATGTTGAAAGATTTCAAAATTTCACGAATGTTCTTGGTTTTAATTGAAAATGAGACGCAAAATTTTAGAAAGAATTGAAAGGCTCTTTGGAAGACTAATTTAATTTTAGGTAGATTGTTTTTTACTGTTTTTATTATCTTTTGTGCTATTTAGATTTGTCATATGTCTCCGATAAAGAGAGCGTTTTCCAAAAAGTATGAATTGGTGAAAGAATGTTTATTTCAGATTATATGATGCAGCATTTAATTGGATTTTATTCAAGCCTGCCTTTGTCTCTCTCTCATTCGATAAAATATGATGCATTTGAAAGTGAGTCATTTCGTATCCATTCGCGGTATCCCTTTCATATGCTAAAGTAAAATACGGAGAATTACATTTGGGAATTGCAAGTCCCAAGAGGCACGCTACATGGTTTACGCCCAACCTATCCGAAGCGCGCATGACCACACTGGAAATAGATAAAAACCGTGTTTGATGTGTGGGAAAAATATAATATATTAGGATAAAGCATTTAGAGGTTTGAAGTAAAATTCTTTACATTATATGCCAGTGTATGCGTATCTGCGGGATGCATCCGCATTCTGTGAATTTCGACGTAAAATGTAAATATAATTTTTCGAGTTATGCACCGTTCGATTTTATTCATACGCGACGATTATATTCATATGCATGAGAAAATAATTTGTTTCCAGCAAATATCGCGCATTTCACACGCGCTCCTCGCATGTTTCCGTCACCTTGTACTCACTTCCATTCGCGTGGAAATAATTTTATAGTGACTTAATTAACGCGACACCGCGTGCTCTGTGCGCCATTTTTGTCTCACTTCGCGTCGTGCGCCCTCATAATTTCAACTTTTTAAATTCCCCTGTGTGTGCTGTGTGTTCCCCTGTGTGTTCCCATGCAGATTTAATGAATGCAGCTGCTAGGTGGTCTAGCGAGAGCTAGGGTCTAACAATAAGCGCCGTGGCGGAGCGCGCGCGCGTCACCGTACGATTTATACCGCGGAGTTGTGATTGAATGGCCCTGTGCGGACAGAATGATGTAAGAACGACATTTCTGAATATGCAGCGACATTTGCATGGCCCGTTAATCCCCCTTTCTGTCTTTCTCCCCCTTCCTCTCTTTCTCTCTCTCTCTCTCTCTCTCTCTCCTTTATCACGAATGACATCGTTCGCATTGTAGAAACGAAGTAACAGCCGAGGTTACCGCGAACGGAAGGCACCAGCCAGCACTTCCGGCGATCGATCTTCACGCGACAGAGCTCTCTCATTGTCTTCGAAGTTACGTTGAATCCAAGGCTCGAGGGTTCAAGGGTTAACGCGCGTTCTTTCATTCCGGGTATTTTCGCGACACGCGCTTACTCTTCCTTCTTTTCTCGCGACAACGCTCTCACTTTTCCCGCGCGCCTCGGGTTCGGTCTTTGTGCATTAAGCTCTTTGAACTTAATAATCCATGCAGATTATAGCTCAGCGGCTCGCTTCTCTTTTTTTTCTTTTCCCTTGCTACTTATTCCTCTTCTGTTTTCGTCCGTTCGGCCTTTTTTTCTCGCCGAACACTTATATACCGCATTTCTATTTTACGAGAGCAATAACAGCGAACGTGGGCCGTTATACTCGCGTATGACCTTTTGATGATGCACTTCCACGTCAAAGTGTCAGGGGTGATCGACGGCCGTGTACCAATAAAATTAGCTCCGAGTGCGGATGCGAACGACGTGTTTTGGCCCGCCAATTAACGTTTCGACCGATTGCACATGTTCGCTCGTACTAAAAACGGGCCATCGCTCCTGAAGAGTCGGAAATCTCGTTCTTCAGCAAACAAAAAATATAGAGAAAGGCATATCGGTGATACGTCCTCGATGTGGGATTCGTTTCGTGAGTTTGCGGTAAGTTGTAATTAATACATTGACACACGGATAGGATACGGATCTCTCATTGATGGTGATAACGAGAAGATATGGTATATGTTTTTATCATCAACATAGCGCCCATAAAGAATGGTATATGTGATTATGCAAAGTAGAGAGATGAAGCTCGTGTCTAGGGGAATGTCTCGCGGGATCGAATAATCATGGAAGTGGTTGTCTGAGTAAACACCACTGGCACAAGAGCGACCGGTCGATAGCGCCGTTAGTTACCGCTACATTGTAAAATAACTTTGTGTTTAATGTCAAAGTGGAACAGGATCGTGCGCCTGACGTGGAAATTAGGGACGGCGCATGAATACTAAAAGCCTACGAAGAGGACTCCTTGAATTATCAATTCCGAAATTGAAGTATACTTTTGTACATTAATTAATTAAACAATTAATTAGATACGTATTTAAAAAATGGTGGGGCTGCGTAACCTATGAAATCTCGCTGATATATATTTTCTAACGAGATTTTCATTCGTTATTGTGATCGATCGTGCTTTTCTATGTCTTTTTAACATAGAAAAAATCTGTATCATATCTCATTTAATTTATGTAAATTCCAGATGAATATGTATCGTGATATTTTCTAATAGGCGAGACAGAACTTTCTTTATATATCCGTATAAAGGTCGGATGCGATATTAATCAATAAATTTGATAAGCTCGACGTCGCGATATTTCATATTTCAAAAAAGTGTCTTATGATATGCGCTGTTGCGTTTGAAAATTAGTCACGTACCATCGCTGGCAGGCAGAGATCCAGTGTTTTATTTTCTTCCAAAAAAAATTGGGTGGATAATCAGGGAGAAATCATCGTCGAACATCCAGACGCGGCCGAAGTGCACGCGCGTGCGGCTGATCGATACTGCCGTCGCCAGCTGGTAAGCTGTATATCTCCCCTTTACGCATCAACCCCACGAGCGGATCGCACCCTTCAGTCTCGATCCGCCCTTTGGCTAGAAGTAGCCTTGGTTAATACGGTAGACGTACGAATCGCCTGCACCCTGTTGCTTAAATTAGAACGTCCTCGTTGTTACTTATAGCGAGCGCGCATATGGGACATATGTATGTCATCGTGCTACTTCATAAGGGAGCTTTCGTTACGACTACATTAAGAACTTACGAACGAGAGATTTATATGATTCATAGAATTTAATAATGATTTCATGTATCTCAGAGACTGATAAACAAAGTTTCAAGATTTTCACGAAATTTCCCTCCGAACATCGTAATATTGATTATTTCACAGCATTCAGTGGTTACCGACCATCGAATGCGTGAGCATCTTGTGATATATGCAAAGAAATTGGAATAATATAATAATAATATAACAATAAATGGAACGGTCTAGTTTTTCACATATTACATTTTACTGTAATTTTGTATTTCTGAAAATATAGTGATTTTTACGTTCAACGAAAAAACAGGTAAATGGATCGGAAACGATACGTTCGACGTGGTGCTGCCGAGGTGAAAAAGGAGAGAAATCTGTTCTCAATCGTTTAGGAAATTCCAGGTATGATAAAATAGTCTGGATATCAACGAACGGTAACCATATTATTTCCAGGATGAATTGAGGTCGAGCTTACACTCGAACTTCAAAGGAGAAAATGTTTGACCGCTCGAAATTGGCTTCCCTATATGCCGCATGTTGTAAAATAAGACCATGCAAAATTAAATAAGACCTTTTTGAAAAAAGTAAAAAGCATACGCGTTCCCTCGTCCAAATACACCGTGTACCTGGCGTTTTCTTTTTACCTTCTTTCGAATTAAGGGTACAGGAAGTTTTGTATGACGTGCAATATTCTGGATATGCGGAACGTGTAAGGTTACAATAGAGCGATAAAATGTTGGACGTGGTGTGAATACGCGGATCAAAATAGGACGTCGTGCATAAAATTTGTGTAGCATTAATTAAATTTCCAGATAAAATACGCAACTAGTTAGATATATCCGCGAAGGAGCTGTCCGCAGTCTTACGATCGATAAATACGAATAATAAATTTTCATATTTGGTAATGACTCCCGCGCTCAATAGTAATTCTCATAAATTAGGACAAATGCAGAAGCTGTTAACAATATCAACGTTCAACAATGCACGTCGAGTAATTCCGCAACATTCCATGAACATTTTCGAGAAATTTCTTCTCGCCGAGAGATCAATAAGGGAGAGAAAGTTTGCGGCCGCTTTGGTAGATGGCAACACGGACTTCTTTTCCGTTCGTTTTCGTGAGGCGAAACGCGCTTGACATGCGCGTTGCTAAAGCTACACGATTTTCGAGTTGCGTTGCGATAATGCATGCACAGATTTGTATCAGCCTTCATGGAAAACATGACAGTCATGAATGCTCCATGCGGCTGTTACTTGCTCGCAACACAGGCATTATTCGAACATTTTGAAATTCCGATACCGTGCGCGCCGACGATTGGCAACTTCGAAGGAAATGGACGACCGATCGCGAGGCTATTACGAGATTATCATAAAAGAATCGGCTCGGGCAGAGGTCGGAACGAAGCGTTATTCTCCTCGTGTGTCTTTTGTTACGTATATATTTTTTTTCCATCATAAAGGGATGCTAATAAATTCAGGAGAACGCGCGAGCGAGCCCCGGCGACCCGCGGCATGCGAAATT